AGCTCCACAGCCGCCCCTTTAACTCCAGCCTGCCGTTGCTTTACATAATGACTCACAGGGCCGTGCTGTTTGGGAAAGATTAAATTTAGAACACAGCCGAGGGTCGTGGCGCTCTCACACACTCATCTTCTGCTGTGTGTTTTTACCTTCATGCGTTTTAAGGCTTTGCTTGTTGAACTTTAGATTTAGGAGGTTTGTGCGCAGCCCGCTCTGTAAGGGACATTATGTAAAGACTAATGTTTAAAAATATGTGAAAGTGGCCTTCTGGGATCACATAGCGCCGCAATGTTGTACAAAAGGTGCATCACTGTTATTTGTAAAAATCTGATCAGCAACAGCTTCTATAGACACCAGAAAATCCTCTCTAAGAAGTTAAACATTTAAACAGTAGCACCGCTCTAATCAGGGTTTCTTAAGCTTGTGCCATTCATCATAGTGGACGTCTAAGTAGCTCACGGTTTACACCCAATGCCAACGGTCAGTTCAGGAAGTAACGTGTCTTCTGTCAAATAAGACAGAAAGCTGAAGAATAGATATTGAGTTAATAAAAGCCACTAGCTGTGGTAAGTTATCGTAGACTCCTCGAAGTTTGGTAGATTTTGGGACATGCAAATGTTAAATGGTAAAGGGTCTGCACTTCTATAGCACCTCTCTACCTTCGTGGTGCTCAGAGCTCCTCGTTTCTCATTCACCCGTTCACCACCGATGGCCACAGAGCTGCCATGCAAGGAGCAACTCCATGTCCTCGTATTCTTGCCCAAGGACACGTCATCTCCATGCCACAGCCATGCAGAGCTGCATGATTTAGATGAGTGACTGGACCACAGCAGCGACGTCACACTCCGTCAGTAAGACCTCTGCTGATGCTGAAGTGTTTGTGGCTACTGAGTGCAGCACAGTCTGATTCCACTGAGCCTTTTATTCTGCTCGACTACGACCTCCCTCCCGTCACATAATTTTTCTTGATCTGACTTTTTTTTTTAAGCTGACAGTTTATTTCTCAGTGTTTCGGTGAGGAGGAATCGTGTGGAGGGGTCTAAAGAGAGCATGAGTCCATATTCCAGAGGCCGCCACTCTCTCCGACCCGCCGCTATCCGAAGCATTGACGTGGTGGAGGCGTACAAACCGATGGACGGCTATTCGTCTGAGACCAGATCTAACAGGAGCTCAGTGTTTCTGGGACTAAATGTACAAACTGAAGGCTGCTAGAAGCTGTTTTTGTCCTCTGCTGCTGCTGCTGCTATTCATTCTCACCCACTTTTCAGAAGAGGCACAATTCATCACCAGTGAAACTAAAACCTTTGCGTCACTTTAAGATGTGACTCAGTAACTGGCTCACATCCCCAGTAAGGACTACAGAGGACCACATGGACACCAGGAACACCCTGACCAGCCTCTGACCTGCAGGAAGTGGGAGTTAAAATCTTGATAAACACTTAAACTCATCTAAGTAACTCCACAAACTAACCACCAGACCTTGATGCCAGTAACCTCTATGACCAGCTGCACGGTGCTCTGAGTTTACGTCTGTGTTTAATCTCGTTACCAGGACAACAGGCCTGTGAATGATGTGGTACAATGTGCTTGGAAATGATATAATCCACCAAAAACGACCTTAAAAGTGTAACTGGGACGCCTGGACGTCAGCCTCCAGATCCACTGCTGAGTTAACGATAAAAGTCCATTTAAAGACTGGACCTGAAAGCACCACTTTGAGTCCCGTTTGAGATCTTTGTGAGGACCATCTCGAGTTCTTTAGTTCATCTGTGAGCCGAGGAAGAGAGAAGCCTCCACTCTGTCCATCCACAGCAACAGGCCGATCAACACATTCATCAATCATCCTTAATGGCAAGTTTCAAATTAGCCAGATTGCTGCCTGTTCTCAGGTGTGGTCTCTTCCTCCCTTCAGCTCAGTTTAATAAATGTGCGTGGTTCTGAATAAGTCCAGTTACCTCCACTGCTTTGTTGTTCACGTTTCAGTCCCTGACTTCTTTAAATTCCAGCTACATAGATTTTCACAATCGACTTTCCCCTTCAATGATTTCCCAGGCCGTTCCTGGAACTCTCCTTGACTGCGCATCAAAACGAGCTTCTAATGAGACTCTTATTACTGTAATCTCACTTCATCATCTCACCGACCCAACGCACTCTTACATTATGCAATAATTCTGCATTTTATAATCCATCTGAGCCAACGTTTTCCTCTACAGCATCTGTGGAGATGAGTTTTTTTTTTGCTTTTACTTTCCATTTCTCCCAAAGTTTCAGTGTGTTAGAGCGGTTGATAACAGCATAAAAGCTCTTCATGTCTTTGTATTCAACACTCTGCCTGCTTCTTGGGATTCTACCTGTGCTCCGTGTTGGTGAAGTCTTGTGTACGAGCACCGGGGCTGTCTGGGAAACGGCGATAACTTTGAGAGCGACTGGCATCACGCTGCAGCATTGTGGAGACGCTGGCACTAAGTCAGAGAAGAGGTGCATTGCTTCAACTCTGTTTACACCTCGAGATGCGAGGATCCCGTCACGCCTTGGAACAAAAACCTGCACGGCGACGCAGCGACTACACAGCAAAGGCAGGCAAACTGAATTAGACTCACGCCCTAATAAGCAATTTCGGTCGACCCTCCCTGCGTCCCCAAAGCCGGGCGGGATGGAGAGGCGCAGGGGGCTGTTAGTCATCCGTAAGTCATCCACGAAGCACACAGCGCCCACGTTTCCACATTCGTGTCAGGGAACGTGGGACAGCGTCAGAGCGGAGATGTGTGTGGGGGGAGCTCGGCGACTGAGTCACTGCTGGACAAAATCTATCTGATGCTTGTTAAGAAACGGTTCTGTCAGCATCTGGAGCCTCACGCTGCTCGTCTCTGCAGCTGATGGAAAATGAGACTCTTGGGAAAGAGGAAGAAAGATGTGTCTTGCTCAACAGCTACGACGTCTGACTGGCCGTTTTCATTAATAGCTTTCATCTAAATGCACATCAGAGCCGGGGCTGAATTACTCTGTAGTAGCACAAACACTCGACGCTGATTGGGAAAGCTGTTATTGTTGCCCCAGCAAAGCGTGCATCCTGGATATCTGTGTGTGTGTTTATAGTGTGTGTGTGTGTGTGTGTGAGAGACAGTTGTCTGACTAAGCGCCTGTTTGGTAATTTAGTGTGACAGAGGGCCGGGCTCTTGTCGGAGGAAGCAATTATTTCTGTTAAATCCCTTCAATCACTGAGATGTAAAGCCTGGTTTGGCGAGGAGCAGCATGAATGGACAGCATTACCGTGAGTGTGTGTAGGTGTGTGTTTGGTTACAGGTGAGCAGGAGGGGAAGTGTGTTACTGGTCCACCTTATGCAGCGTCACATCGTGTGAACAGCAGCAGTCGTTTGTCTGGTTTTAGAGAGGAATCGTTCACACTGAAAACAGTCGTGACTCGATAATCCGACACTAAATGTAAAACCTTCTTCTATGTCGGATAGCAAGGCTGTCGGATTGTCCAGACGGAGGTCCAGATACGAGGAGGGCTTGATGCTGGAAGGCTCATTAGTTGTTCATTATTGTTATAATAACTAGTGTGTTGTTAGAACACTACGGGAGCGTTTCTGTTGAAATTCATCCTCCACCCGTTTCAGTTTTGTCTTTTTCCATCTGCTTTGTTCAACATTGACATTCTCATTAATTCTACTTTTTGATCCTTCCACCTACCTGTCTGCTATGTGAATGCATTTCGGTCTTTGTTTCTGACTTCAACAGTATTAAACGACCACATTAAAAGAAGCAAAGGCAGCTATGGAAGCCCTTGCCCATTCAAGGTGATTCACTGACCAGTCTGGCTTTTTCATTTTTTATTTTCTTGATAATATGAACTGGCAGAATAAGCTGCAGGGCCGTAGTGTTTTTGGAATTTCATCCAGACCTTGGCTCATGGGGACTCCAGGCATAGCAGAGACTTTAGAGAACATCAAGAAGAACTTGCAGGCCGACCTGAATTTGTCTTCAAATGAGGTTCTGTGAGTGTCCTGTTAGCCTCCTACCTGCCAGCTGCAGTCACCAACGTAGCAGCACTGTGGACCTACAAGTCACTGTGATGCTCGCTCTGTTGTCAGACTATTGGGATTAGAAAAGACAGTCTTCAGACTTTTCATCTTTTGTCTCTTATCATCTGTTGCAGCTGCTTGATGGATAACTCAGTCATCGTCTGTTTCTGCAGTAAAACTGCCAGGAGATGCTTTGGTAATATCCTCACTAGTTATGAGTTCGTTTCATCTGCTTCTCTATGTGTGGCCCTGTGATGGACTGGTGATCTTTCCTCTGTGACAATAAACGTGAGCTTCTAGACACTCTGGTTGCAGTAATATGTGTGCCATCATCACTCAGCGAAGGGGTCTTCCCTCCATCCTACACTTGGGGTTCTACAGTATGACCCGTGGCTGTCTGGAAGCTACTGGATCTTAGTGATGAGCTGAAATTAGATCGATCAACTTGTGTAGATCTGTGACCAGATTTATCAACAGCTTCAGCCCACACAGCTCGTTACTTCTAGTTAGATCCACTTTCTTACTCTAGATGCCACCAATAAGCCTTTTTCCTCTCCAGGAACTCGCAGGCTGTTTTATCGTGGCCCAAGCCTTTGTTCTAACTGCATGGTCCACTCCTGTAGAACCTCTGTCAGGGTCCTACTTGGGGGTATGAAACCCCGCTCTGGTCTTCATGTTGATTGGTTAAACTCAAGAAGACAACAGTGACGCAGAGCATCATTTTGTTCTGCCCTCAAACCTCCAACGTTCCTTCATCTATGTGCTGACTGAACCAGAGTCACGTCCACTAAGTGCAAAGTGTTGTTGGTTTAGAACGCTTGTTGACGTCATCGTGGTAACAGAAAGGTGGATGCTCCTGGAAACTCTCACACCACCGTCCACCAAGTTCTTGCAGCGCCTGGAGGTGGTGTGATGCTAATGATAGCTCTGTCTGCCTCATGTGTCATCCCCTCCTAACATCCTCTCGTTTCTCCCCAGGAGTCTACACCTTTGGCCTCTTCACCGTCGACATCTTTGTCAATGCGGGGCAGGTGGTGACAGGGAACCTGGCCCCCTACTTTCTGACGGTCTGCAAGCCAAACTACACTGCACTAGGCTGCCAGCAGGCCCTGCGCTACATCAGCCACCAGGAGGCCTGCACAGGAAACCAGGATGACATCCTGCGGGCCCGCAAGACGTTTCCCTCCAAGGAAGCTGCACTCAGCGTCTATGCAGCGCTCTACCTGGCCGTGAGTCACTCTGCTCAGGCTGCTGTTTGTGTTGTACCTAAAAAACTGTCAATGATTTGTAAAGTTTAAATAAGTTAAGATGAAACTTTTTAAATCCAGAAGGACATTTCTTTTGCCAGATATTGTTCAGAAACACCAAAATAAAGTAAGATAAGAAGTGTAAATATAAATTAGGAAGTGTGTTCTCACAGTTTTACTGAATAATAATTAAATTTCAACACAACTTGAATCTTATGTTCATAGCTTTATCCATTGTTTTTATCAGTAACATCTGCTGACACCGTGACATTACTTGAAAGTAGTCAAACTGACTCAACACTCACTTGGAGCTTTAACTCTGATGGCTTGTTTCTGACCTTCTGGTGATTCTGATGGCGTGGAGGCAGGGAGGAGTTTGAGGTTTGTTGAAATCACTGCACCCAGCTGCTGATCTTTAAGAAATGGATTTTCTATATAACCATCATCCATCATCTATACACTGCTGGGCTGAAGCTGACCTGGGCCCAGCTGACTCAGGGTGAAGGCAGGGACACCTGGACACCAGGTAGCGGTGCTAACCACTGATCCACCGTGCAGCTCCTCTATATAATATATTAGATGTCTGTCTGTGTAATGACAGAAGTAGGCTAGCCGTTTAGTCTTGTTTTCCGTCTGAATGCTGAACTAAGTTGATTGCCTCCAGGTTGCGGCTGTATTTAGACACGAGAGGGATGTGAGTGTTTTATTTATGCAAATCACATCCAGGAGAGCTGCAAGATCAGTTTAATATTGTACCTGTTGACTCACCGACTACAGGCAGAGGAAAGACGGGGATCCCAGCTCCATTAAGGTCCAGTTTTAACTTTAATTTCAGCTGCCAGTATCTGATAGGGTTGTAATCAGTTTTATGTGTTTTATGGATGGAAAACATTTTAACCACGACACGTCCTGGAGGTGATGTGAACTTATTAAAGCTGCAAAAGGATTCTGGCACAGAAGTGGGACCAGATATGAAGGCACGAGAAAAGCTGTTTACATCATCAGTGTGGCTACAGAGAAAATAAAGTACTACTATCTATGTTATATATAGATATCGTACAGAGATCTATTGTTGAGCCAAGCACACATGTAGTGACTAATGGTGATGATCTGTGCATCTCTGGTTGCCGTAGTCGATGTGTTGAGTGTTATGATGAAGAAATGGGCAGATACAAAGATCTGAGCAGCTTTGAAAAGGACCGTATTGTCCAGGACATCGGAGCCGGCCGTGGTTTGTAAGGATGCAGGACGAAGAGCTGAAGGAAACGGAGATTCTTAACAGTTCAGATCAATCACCCTTTTTGGCCAACAGTCCACAAAGGGCAGTTTATTGGCTGGAGGTTACTGCTGTACGCCCAAAACCCAAATCAAACATTTCCAAAAAAGCTCAGTTTCCTGCTCATGGTCTGGTTTTGTTGAATTCTTTGTGTCAGAGAGCGAACATCTGCCCGAGTGCCCATGAGCGATGAATGCAGAATCAGTGACTCCCTCCCTGCAGGGCGCATTGCCTCAGTTATCTAGGTCATTTAGCAAAGGCCACTGAGCGTGTGCAGCTCTGCGTTCACAACATACAGGCGTTGTGCACACACAGACACACACACACACACACACACACACACACAATCCTGTGGCTCTGAGGAGATGATGATTACCCATCTTCAGACTCTCATTGTCTTGGTCATTACAGCGATGCCAGGACCAAGCACAGCTTTCCAGCATGAGCCAGAGGTTTTATCAGAATGAGGCTGTAATTACCCCATTCAGATGCTAATGTCACCGACACTGACAAGCACAATTTATTCTGTTGGCCTGAATTTACACTGTAAGGTTCTGATGTTTTAGCTGCAACCATGAGCCAATATGAATCATCTGTGTGACGTACCAAGGAGCAGAACAGCAGCTAGTGTACATTCTGAAGCAACACAGATGATCCAGAGGCCGTTTCTCACAGCTGTAAGCCTGATAGACCCAAAACATTCATCAAAATGGAGCATCTGCATGTCAGGTGTCAACAGTGTCACCTGTATTGATTCATTCACCGTCGCCTCACAGCGAGAAGATCCCGGTTCACGGCCCAGTGAGGACTCCTGGGATCTTTCTGTGTGAAGGTTGCATGTTCTCCACGTGGGTGCTTCCCTCTGTTTGTTTTTCTGTGCAGCCCTGTGATAGACTGGTTACCTGTCCAGGTGAACCTGCCTTCACCCTGAGTCAGCTGGGATAGACTCCAGCCCCCCATGACCCTGGTGAGGATGAAGGTGTAGAGATGATGGATGGATATTCCTCATAAAGGTCTCTCAGAAGACTTGATTTAAACATCTGAGTGACGTCCCTGATTTTAAATGATCATAAAGCAAAGTTTACACCATTTAGTTGTCGTGCGCCACATCTGGTACAAAAACAAACACCCTGCCTATATAACATATATAACGCACTATTACTTTATCTTTGTGGCTCGTTGGTTCTGAAAACATTCTCTCTTTCTGTGTAGTTGCAAAAGAACCAAAACACAATTTGGTTTGAAACAGGTCCAGTCTAAACATGGTTATCCAACCCAGTGTCCTGCAGTAAAGGAAAACTGTGAATATTAAACGTACTGCAGAGCTGTCCTAATCATCGGACCTACTGTCCTCGGTTCAGTTGGACACACACAGAACCAAGCCGGTGGAGCAGGATGTGTTTTTCCTTAAGAATACAGCTTGTATGTAAAATAATAATGAGACTTGATTTAATTTACATTTTCTGTTGTGGAAGAAACACAAGATTGATTGGAGATAAGTGAACCTGTAGGAGTGAGAGTGTTATTGCTGGTGTGACTGGGCTGTGATGTATCACCTCCTGTAGCAGCTTTTATGGACCAGCACCGTCTATTGACTGAGTTCTGTCCAGCTGTGACCGCCGCCGGCTACCGTTTAGTCCTCACTTCCTGGTTTTTGTTGCCGTGCTATTTTTACTGGTACAGTGTGGGCGGCGCTGTGCTGCGGCATCTTTTTGCATTTTCTTTTTAAAGTTTGGCTTCGAGAGTTGAAGCCGTGACATCACTGCATGAAGAGAAGAGATGATCACCAGGTCGCCGTGATGCACCTGCACAGCGATGTTTCTTCAACGTTCTTGGAGAGTTTGTCACAGTTCTTGTGTGGATTCAGTCTCAGTATGTTCTGTTTCTTCAGCTAATGTCAGACTGACCTCACGATGCTAACATCAGGGCTGTAGATCACCTGCCTCACTCACCTGTTCACCTGAGGAGGGAGGAGGGAGAGGAGCTGTTTCTGACTGATAACACATTGTTTAAATATATCATGTAGATGTGAATCTAGATTTAGATTTAGTACCATTTTAAACCAAATGTTTATATCTGGCTAACTGACTGAGTGAAGAGCCGAGAGTTAAACGTCTCTTTGACATTTCATTTCAGATCAGCGTGATGAGCGAACACAGCAGCCATGCCTCTGTTTGATCAGCTAAACAAAGAGACTGATGCCTGAAAGAGCATCGAGCAGAGGACGAGCTGCTCTGCTTCGTAAACTCCAGTTGAATCTCACAAATGAACTCTGGGTTTAGCTGACAAGCCTCTGATGCAGTGAGCATGCCGACAGCTGCTAGTGTCTGACATTAAATAGGAAGCATAGGAAGGACGTTCATCCAGCTACGAGCCGCTCACAAAGGCTGTTAGGACGAATCACACCGACCTGATGGGTCTCAGGTCACAGGAAGTTCAGCTGAGAAACGTGAAATATGTGTGTGGGTGTGTGTGTGTGTGTGTGTGTGTGTGTGTGTGTGTGTGTGTGTGTGTGTGTGTAACAGAGGTCAACCAGCAGGTTGTTCTGTGCATCTCTTTATAAGATTGATTGTATGTGACAGCCCATACGAGTGACAATGACTCACAGGGAGAAACCACCTCGACCCGGTGAAGGACAGAATCAGAATCAGAATCTCTTTATTGTCATTGGACAAGAAGGCACAACGAAATTTGAGATAGCAGCTCTTGTAGGCTTGTTAAAAGACTGTGGGGGGCAGTGGGGGGTATTTACACGACTAAAGGGATGAAGAATGGAAAAAATAAGATATAAATGGTAAATGGGCTGCACTTATATAGCGCCTTTCTACCTTTGCGGCACTCAAAGCGCTTTACAGTGTTTCTCATTCACCCGTTCACACACATTCATACACCAATGGCGACAGAGCTGCCATATAAGGTGCTAGCCTGCCATTGGGAGCAACTGTCAGTGTCTTGCCCAAGGACACTTCGACTGTGGAGGGGGCGGGGATCGAACCGCCAACTTTACGAGGACAACCGCTCTACCACCTGAGCCACAGCCGCTCAGAGGAGCTGCTGAGGATGTTGGTGGTGGTACCAGAAAGGATGCTGTTACATTATCTTTATATCATTTTATTTGTTGACAAAAGTGGAATACACCTTTGTTCTCTTTTATCTCTTGTATGTAACTGGCCTCTAACTGTGTGCAGGTGAGCGGGTGTTTTCCTGCGGAGCGTCGTGCAGGTTGGTGAACGTGTGGTCCTGACAGATCCGAGGCCGGGTTCGGTACCGCCGGCAGAGAGAGAACGTGCACGTTAACAGCTCAGCACTTTTACATTTCACAGCGTTTCGGTTCGTTTATTTGGTGAAAGCACATCTGAGCTGCTCTCTAAAACCGTCCCAACCCTCCTGCCTCGGTCCGAAACATCAGGTAACCAGGGCAACGAGGCCAGGTACCGCCTGGAGGTCCGCATGTTTAATTATAGGACAGATGAGACAGACGTGATGAGTGATATGAAGGACGTCGGTAATCAAATACAGCAAAAATGAGAAAGGCTAGACTTTGAGTCACTGTGATACTTGAGCGTCTGCGTCCCATCACAGAAATCCAACCTCTGTGGTGTTCTGGTCGTCTGTCGAGCAGAACAGAGACTAAATGCCACGTACCAGGACACCGCGGATCATTACAGCGGCTGTGTCGATCACCTCACAGCTACCAACGGTTTCTTCATTTAGTCGTGCAGAACGCCGCCGCCGCGCCGCAGCAGCCGTTTTACACTGAAAGTGGGAAAAACACGACATTTTTAATTCTTGTATAATCAACGGAGATGAAGAATAAATTAATTGCAGAGAGAGAGAAACAGAAACATTTGATCTGGCCTCGGAGAAGACGGCGCACGCTAATGAAAAATACAATTAGGCCCTGAGAGGCTGCCTCAACACAACGGATCAGAGCTAAACATAGACGCGCTTTGGTCTATATACGTCTGATTCTGTCTCCTGCTTTCTCCTCCACGGGCCGTATAGTTGCACTAAAACAAGGCCACGCATGTTAATACGGGATAGCAGCAGCACAGCGTGAGCGCTGAACGTGCTTCCACACCGTCGGTTGATCGTTTACTGAATTTGAATGAGAGTCGTGTTGGTGAGGCTGAGAGCTTCGTTTCCACGTATATCATCTCGAGTTCCCACTGACGACTATAGTTCTTAATTTTCTGTGAAGGAATCATCAAAAGGCTCGTCTCAGTGACAGAAAAAACAATCAGGCATTTTAGAATAGAAACGGGATGCTTTTATTGTCATGATACACGAAGCACAGCGAAATTAAAAGACAAGAATAAAAAAAGACAAATAAGAATATCTAAATATATTTACAGAAGGAGCCAGTAGGAAGCATATACAGTCAGGAATGATCACGGTAACAGCCACACGGTAGAATAAATATACTGCACTGTTGGGGTAAAAACACTGTGAATACATGAGAAATATAAATTAAATAAATACATAGATCATTATAAATAATATATAATAATTAAAATATAATATAGTATAATATAAATAATAAATGTATATGATAAGTAATTCAGACTGTTTTGGTTCCTTTGTATCGTTATTATAGATCTTATAGAAATATTATGGGTCAGAAATATGCATTCAACACTGTTCATAGTTTGTTTAATGTCCTGGTTCCACCGTCTGCAGCTCTCAGTCCAACACTCGTCCCAACTGATGCACAACCAGCCTGACCAACATAGTTTGATTTTACAGGTGAGTGTTTGGTACAAGTCAGAATAAACGCAGTCTGCATGTTCACGGTAATGAAGGGAAGCAGTACGGATGTGTTTTTAATAGTTATAATAATAGAATGATAGAGAATAAGATATTCCAGGCCTCTGATTTGTCCGTGATGCACGTTACTGGTTTGACTCTGAACAAGTCAACACTGAGCGTAGTGGCCACGTGTATAATAAATCTTAATCAGACATGACTTAATAATGACAGACTGATCTAATTACACTGTTGTAATGATTAATAATCATGTGTTGAACTTAGTCAGCAGACCTTCTGATGTATTATTTACAGCAGCATCTGAGACCCAGATTGTTGGGAGGAGGATGCTCCGGGCTCTCTCTCTCCTCTTTACTCTCGTTCTCCCTCGTTTCCTACATTAGTGACTAGATCGAGCCAGCTGTGGACTTCCGTCTCTAGTCCTACACTCATGTGAACAATATCTGACAACGACTACAGTCAGAGCAGTCCAAAACCACGGGACGCTGAAGGTCTGCCTTTGGTCTGGACCACATGTCGGGTTTCTGCAGCCAAGTGTCCAGAACACTTTTTTCTTTGAATGTATGTTCATTGGAAACTGCTCTAGTGTTCTCCTGTCGGGTGAGGGACCGCCGATCCTGGACAAACTGGCAGTCGTTTACCCTCTTTTATACTTTAAGGCAAGTGTGTGTATAAATACAATCTAAATGTGAGACCTCTGTACATCCTGTCACGTTCTGCTGCAGTGAGAGTTGAATCATAAGCAGCTTTATGCTGTAATTTATCATGAATACAGTTTTGTTCACCTGACAGAGATGATAAAATACAGCAGGAAACTATAAAACAGCTGCACAATGTTTATTTGAAGTCACGTTAAAACCACAGCATCAGAGGAAGTCTCTGCTCGGTCTCCTCCACTCACATCTCTGGTGGGAGGGACTCAGACACGAGGACAGGAGTCAAGGACACGAGAAGAAGTCTGACGTAAAACTGAGAAACGAGAACGGGTTGTGTCTTGTTGTTGTCTAATCTAACGCTGCGTTCACTTGTACTCAGACAGTACAGTTGTCTACGGCGGCTGTGGCTCAGGTGGTGGAGCGGGTTGTCCTCTGATCGCAAGGTTGCCGGTTCCATCCCTTCCACAGCCGAAGTGTGCTTGGGCAAGATACAGGCAGCACCTTGCATGGAGCTCTGTGGCCGTTGGTGTGTGAATGAGAAACACACTGTAAAGCGCTTTGGGTAAAAGCCCCATATAAGTGCAGTCCATTTACCATTGCATTGAATGAAACTGGACACGAGTTTTTATGAACTTGACCAATTACCCAGGCTGCAGGTGTCTCGGTGGTTAGCACCGTCGCCTCACAGCCAGAAGGTCGCCGGTTCACGTCCCAGTGAGGACACCCGGGGTCTTTCTGCGTGGAGTCTCCATGTTCTCCCCGACCCCACGACCCGAGTGAGGATTAAGTGTAGAGATGATGGATGGATGGAACAATTGCACTTCAGATCTGGGAAGGCCACAGGGGTGAGCGATGAGGTTTCAGAGGTGGTCGTGTACCACTGAGCCCACACCACCAGGCTCAGGAACAGCCCCTGGACCATCGCCCTCCTGCCCCCGCATCCATCCCACCACCGTGTAAATGACCCTGGGTTTCCATTTCATTGTCCACAGACCATGCCGTCTGTATTTGCACTTTCTCTGTGCTGTGTAGTAAATAATCTTGAGTTGAATCGGTAGTTCCTGGGTTGTTGTCCGTTGCATGTCCGCTGGTTTAAGAAGCTCAGGACGTTTGACACTGAAGGTCAGGTTTGCATTCTTAGTGACAGCTTTAGGCTTCTAAAACACCATCTGTCACTGAGATTGTCTTTCTTAACATGAACCAAGTGTTAAACCATTACATTGGTCATATGTCCATAATAAATGATTTTATTGGCATAGACTGATTTTAGGTAAACCAGCAGATTTATATCTTTTCTCTCTCCTCTCTCTACTCCCTCCACTGTTTGTCACCTCGCTGATTCGCTGTGTCTCTCCCTCTGGGCATCATCATCTGCCGCTGCTCTCTTCCTTCTTTTCACCTGTTTTTTATCTATTACTCTCCATCTGCCTCCTGCTCCATGTTTTATTTATTTTTTTCTCGCCCTCGTGTTTTTTTTTCCCGTTCTGTACTTTCAGTGACAGATCTGCCAGCACATCTCTGAACACGGCGAAGAAAATAGCAAGCCGCCCCGGGGAGAGCCTGAACATATCAGCTCATATTTACACGCAGTCACAGCTGTCTGCTAGCATTTAGCCGCCGTTTTTAATAAAACATTAGGAACACAGGAAGGAAACTTTGGAATATTTTTAAAAGTCAAACTGAGTTTATGTAAATTTTCAGCATCATCCCATCAGCATTGCTCCACGCTCAACGTTTTTAAGCTTCTTACCTTGTAAACATCTGTTTGATATGCAGCGTGTGCAGAGTCAAGTTTCCATCACAAAACACACTGTTTTATGTTTCGCTGTCATTTACCCGTCAGCTTCTATGAGGGAAACCTTTTTAATTTACTCAAACGGATAAGACAAAAAAAAATCATGTTTCATTACAACACAAAAGTCAATCCTTTGTTCCACAAAATGTTAAACTTAAATATCAATATCTGGTCATTTAACTCGTAAAACAACAAAAACAACATTATGTCTGTTGCATTTACAGAATTATTTAAAAAGCATCAGTTTAGTTGTTTAATGTATTTGAGCAAACATCCGATGTTGTCATTTTTCATTTTAGCCTCAACATGTCATCAGTTGGAAATATAAAAATAATCATTACTGACTCTGAAACTGGTGGCGGCACCATGACACAGTGGTTAGCATGAACCCTCACAGCTAGAAGAACCCCAGGCCAGGTTTGATTCTCAGCCCGGGATCTTCCTGCGTGGAGTCTCCATGTTCTCCCCGTGCAGCGTGGGTTCTCTCCGGGTTCTCCGGCTTCCTCCCACAGTCCAGAAACATGCTGAGGTTAATTGGTGATTGTAAATTGTCCGTAGGTGTGAATGTGAGTGTGCTTGGTTGTCTGTCTCTAAGTGTAGCCCTGTGATAGACTGGTTACCTGTCCAGGTGAACCTGCCTTCACCCTGAGTCAGCTGGGATAGACTCCGCCCCCCATGACCCTAGTGAGGATGAAGGTGTAGAGATGATGGATGGATGTTAACCCACAGTGAGCTTAGGACTTAGCTGTAGAAGAAGCACCTTGTTGATGGTGAGCAGTTGTCATGAGTTTGGATCGGTTCTTATCCTGACGATAGTGTGGAAAAAGTGATCAGACCTCCTTGTTTTCTTCAGTTTCTGTTCATTTTAATGCCTGGTACCACTAAAGGTTTTTCTACCTGACTGCCCCTACAGTCAAACATGGAGGTGGATGATTGACCATCTGGGCTTGTTTCAGTTTGGGGGGAACAGGGTGTTCAGGTGAAATAGGACCAGTTACTTTACATGAACAAAAATCAGCTGATCTAACCTTCATGCTTGTCTTTCCTGGCAGATGTACGTGACGTGCACAGTGCAAGCCAAAGGCACTCGTCTGGCCAAGCCGGTGCTGTCTCTGGGGCTCATGTGTCTCGCCTTCCTCACTGGTCTGAACCGTGTGGCCGAATACCGAAACCACTGGTCAGATGTCATCGCCGGCTTCATCATCGGCACTGCCATCGCCACCTTTCTGGTAAGACTCACGCTCACAGGTCAGGGTTTGGGTAACAAAAGTGTTTAAGGGGCTTCTGGAATAGGAAACACACACATACGGGTAAAGTACGGTGACTTTAAAAACTATTTGGAGAAGTGAAAGTGCACTGGCAGAACCCAGAACCAGCAAAGATTGGACCACATGATGGTGAGTAGAACCAGGTATGATGTACAGACAACAGGAGCCAAAGCGTTGATAATCACATCATTCACAATAGGTGCATCTTAGTCCATTCAAAGTAGATTCTTACTGGTGCTGGGGAGGTGCGATATGGTCTAAAGAACGTGCACACAGAGACTGCAGCTGTGTTCATTTAATGAATCCAAATTCTACCTCCATGGTTTTGGAGGTTGATGTTTTTTGTAGAGCAAGAATTCCAACCAGACTCCACTGATGTTGCGGTAAAGCATGAAGGCGGTGGAATCAAAAGCTGCACTTTTTTTTCTATTTATTGGTAGAATCATGAACTCTTTGGATGCAAACCTCAGGAAATCAATCACAAAATGGTCAAGCAGCTGAATCTTTCAGCAAGATAATGAGCCAAGAGAACATCGAGGTCATAAATGGTGCTAAATGTCAACTAATCAGTGCTGTAGGATAATAGCTCTGCTGACTGAGAGAACTTTCTCCACAACAGCAAACAGTTGATTTAGTATTCTGGTGTTTTTGAGCTGTTATGCTGGATAACTAAAGGCTAAAACCTCAAATATTCTGTGACACCACTACTATGGTTTTTGTATATGTCCAGTCTTATCATTTCAAACCTGACAGACAGGTTTTTGCTGAAGGAGTGTGCTTGTGATTTATGGTCATGTTGTGTGTATAATGCATTTCTAAGTGTACCTTAAGTGTCCCAGTACGTTTTCGGGGCCGCTGTAATTTATCAAATGGTGGTTAGGAGCACATTTTACAGTAAATCTTTGCCTTTGCTGAAGTTTTTTATTTGTCTTATATAGTTCCAAAGCAGTTCCAAATATTTTAATAGTTCACTGACCAATCAAAAGACTTGAGCTCCATATTGATCCAGTGGTATCAGAGTTGACCTGTAGGCCTACAGCACTGTGCACAGCACGGTGATGGAGTTTCATGTGCTACCCCGACTGCCTCCAGCTAACAGCAAAATATTCACAGTTTAATATGAAATGAACCAAATAACTAGTGTTTCACAAATCTGAGTTCTAACACAACCAATCAGAATTCTAACTAAGAATCTCTGACACACCACTCTCAGAGAAACCCTCACAAACACTCTCAGAACAGGACAAAAGATGATTTCAGGGACAACGAGGCTCTGCTGAGGGCACGCCGGCAGGAAGTCCCGCCTCTTCTGCTGGATTCAGCCAATCCTCAGCCTCCCGGTGTCCCAGTAGCGGTGATGCTCCTGACCTGCTCACGGGGGCCGGAACAGCATCTGTGTTGTTTCTTTACCTAACTTTATCTTCACCTGTGTGACCCTCATACTTGCGTTGCTCTCAGTAATCTCCATCTGTCCTTTATGTTCAGTTGCACACACCTGTGCTGTGGCTCCAGCGTGGTGTCGCCTCGGCTGTGGGTTCAGTTCCTCTGACGTGTGCTTGTGCTTGTAGGTGGTGTGTGTGGTCCACAACTTTAAAGGCAAGTTGCTGCTGACCGAGGAGTCACCGGCGGAGCAGCGGACCCACACGGTGATGGGCCGGGTGGAGAGTCCTCTGGAGAAGTACATCGCCTCACAGGTTGGTGGAGCACAGCACAGAATCAGAGTGAACCCGATTAAAGCTGATTAAGAACAATTAAGAACAAAAGTGGCATCGTCCTACGTCAGAGCAAGAATCCACTCCAAACAGAAAAGATCATGCATGAGACTAACTGTCCAGATTACTGTCAAGACAACTCGGTCTATTTAATATAAATAACAGATATCTTCTTTTTTAGCAGATTTGTCAAGCCTAAATGTTTCTGATTATCCAGGTCAGTTTAATATAAAACAAAGACAGAAGTTTTATTTCTTTTGTTGAAGGAGAAATGCTTTGCAGCCCCGTGTGAAAAAGTAATCGCCTCCTGAGCCACCAATCTACTAAATGACCAAATTCATTTGGCAGCTGGTTTAAATTTCTCCAGTCACAGCCATGTATGATGACTGCCTGTCTTGTTGAATCTGAACATCACGCAAATAAATCCTGTCTGGTCGCTGTGAATCAGCTAAAAGGTCTCAAAAAGCAGCACTTGATTCAAGAGAGTCAAGAACAAGGAGACGTTGGGCAACAATGGCTTCCATGGGAGAGTTGAAATCACTTCTGACCAACAAGAACATAAAGGCTGATCAGACATTGGGTCATAACGAGATGAGTCTGAAGACTTTTGGGATAACATCCTGTGGACTGATGAGTCAAAGGTGGAACTTTCTGGAAGCCATGGGTCCAGTTAGATCTGGTGTAAAGCTGATACTCCACAAGACGGTCATGCTTCATACTTTGCTTCCACAAGACCTGGACGACAGGAAGTCAGGGTGTAAATTAAAGCATTTCACATGACAACAGGGTCACATGACACACTAAAAACCAAACTGCTTTGATGATGCAGCAGGACACCTGGAAAGGTTGCGTTTAATGTGAAGTGACAGGTGTCAACTGGAATCACTCAGCAGGATATGACATGTGATGCTGGCGTCACTGTCGGCCGCTGACAGCGCAGTGCGACAGGTGAATACACCAAAGCTCATACAAGTGCTGACATCTTGGACTTAAAGAGTTAATTACATTTATTGTTCAGATACAAACACCATGACGATCAAAATGTGGAATCTTCAATTTAAGGTGTTACAGTAATAAAATCAGCAGCCATTCCCAGATATGTGTGAATAAAATACCCTTATACCTCCTTACACCTGCTATAAAATGTCTATATATTTAGAATTAGTGGCGGCTTATAGTCTGGACATGACGGTAGAGGATCGTATGTTTCTCTGATACAATATAAGCTATTAGTTTGGATTTAGAGAGTGTGTACCAGTGCCTAAATGTTATTATGGGATGTTACCTCTCACACACACACACACACACACACACACACACACACACACGTTGCCGCTGCAGGAGACGGACGATGAAGACGAAGGCTGCTGCAACATCACGGAGCGTCTCCAGGCCTTCCTGCGCTGGCTGAGGAGCATCAACTGGTTCCAGTGTCTCAGAGGCAAAAGGCAAACAAACTAGGAAAGCATGAGTTCTTCCAAATCTCTGGACAACACGACCTCACGCTCGTTTTTCATTCTGCATTTGAACTCCAGCGGTGATACAACTGGCTGATGTTGTGCCGTCGGTCTGGTTCAGCCTCCGTCTTGTGCTGCCGGTGCCGGATGTGTTACAGACAGCCACGACTAGGAAACCCATAGGAAGGATGCAGTGTTTTACAGGCAGAAACAAGCTCTGTTCATCCTCAGTTTGGCCCCTTTTCTGGACCCAAGAGAGCATTTCTGAGACAAATGATGTCATTAAATGGATTCATGGCAGAGTTGTGTGATGCAGGATCACTTAGCACAATGCAAAAGAGAGTAAATAAGAAGAAATAAATCCTGCTCTGGGATCCACAGGGACACCTTTGTGTGGCTGATTCAATCCATAGCTTCACAACAAGCAGGGATATCTGCAAAAGTCATTTCCCCTTAAAACTATATACAGTTTAAAACAAAAAAAACAACAAGCATGCTCACTCTAAATGCCTTCAAAATTATTTCCTTTTTTTAAAAATTAGTATCGTGTCCAACCAAGCTTTCCAACTTTCCCAAAGTTGAATAAAAACCAGATCATCATCCCACACAAAGTGTTTAAATTTTAAATGTTAACAGAAGCGAGCATGAATAAGTGAAGCAGTCAGAACACTGGTACTTTCTGAGCTGAATATGTAAGTGTGCTGTTGAGAAGCCACATGTTTCTCCCTCGTGTGTTTGGGTCAGATCCACTTTCAGTCTATTAAGGAACCGAGCAGAACCTGAACCGCTGTTTGTTATCACACGGCAGGTTATGGCAGCAGAACCTGGACACGCTTCCTGTGTCTGCCGAGCTTTGCCTGTAAAATGCAATTAAAACTAATTTGTAGGTTATGGATCGTCCTAATACAGTACGGACATACTGATACGCTCATTAGTCGCCTATAAAGAGTCTTTTCTGTTCTGATCAAGTCATCAGCTTCCACTTGTGTCTGTTTTTGACTGTGAGGCTTTAAATAAGACACCAGCACAACATCAGCCAGTGTTTCATCACAAATACTTCTCTCTACAGTTAGTCTGTATTAATGACTGTCACAGTAAGAGGTTTGCCAATGTCATGACAGCACCATGAGATTGGAAAACTGAGTCCCAGTAAGAGATGCTCATGTTCAGATAATCTGGGTAAACGGTTGGTTGGACTCCAGCCTGTCTGATCAATGTTTTCTCATCCTATCAGATCTATTTCTATTAATGTCACTGTGTTTCTAGATATTAGCAGTTGGTTTAGTGAATGCAGTGTCTTCATAAATATAACACAAAAGCCGAGGTGTGCTTAGCTTAGAATGGGGTCGCCCCGTGACCCACCGACTGCCCATCTGTCGGCCATCTTGGTCCATTCTGATGAAGCCAAAGCGAGGCTGATTCTGCCCAAACTAACGCTGTCCAGAGCATTTGGTGTGTGTGCTGAAGTGCTCCTCCTCCTTTCTCTTTGCATCTGCGTGACATCGTGTGTCTTTAAAACACCAGATCTGATCATTCTGTCCTGCTGACTTTCCTTTTCCTTCAGTAAGACACACAACAGTGAAACAGCTCCTGATGATTCCATTCCCAGCCTCCTGCTGCTCAGCTGCCTGACAAAGAGCAGAAAATCTCACCTCAGCCCGCGACAGGCTCGGTGGAAAATTGCCTGCTCTAAAAATAGCACAGCCTAAAGATGCCTGGAAGCTAAACAAGCCAGAGTGAGCAAAAAATGCCAGGGCAGGAAGAAACCTCTGAGCCGCCAAACAGAAGCTCTTATTTAGTTCTGTTCTCTCACACACAAAGACGCCACACTCACAGAGTCATCAGTGGTTCAGTATGATGCTGGAACGACCTCAGGATTTAGAAAAACAACGACTCGTCAGCTTTTAGAGGGTGAATGGTTGCTTGTTTTAGAGGAAACACAACAGGACCGACCTGCCAGTATAGATGCTGATAGTCCTCCTTAATCAAATGAAAAATCTACACGATCAACAAGATCCACATCAGCAACACAGCATATATGAAAGACTGGCTTCCTGGACTGTACCAGAGACTTAAGAACTCTTTGCTGTACTGTCACATGTGAGGGTTTTATAAATTGGGCCATTTTTCATGTTCCCCCAACGAGCAGCATCGGCCTGTTATTTCAAAACGCGTTTGTCACAGAACGGAGAACAGGGCGCTCAATAATAAAGATTTTATTCACAGTAATCTTCTTAGGAAGCAGGAAAACAAAACAGCAGGTGAACCGGAAGCACTTCAAGAGCTGAAGCAACGACTAGCGGCTCCGCTAGCAGCGACTATCTAATTTAAACTGAACAGATCCAGAATAAAGCAGGACTAACCCGGAAGGTACAAATTCAGAGAGGCTAGAAAAAAAAACAGAATCAGATATGAATTTGTGGATCAGAACACATGGACACAAGATTCAGCGACACTAAAAACACACAAATCAACAGGGATACACAGAACGGTGATACACAAGCAGGAAAGTTGCTGAGGTGAATGCTGCACCTGGTCTGCTCTGCCTCAAGCCCACCCAGGTCACACAACGAAGGAAGGTCTCTAGGGCCTGATTGGTGCATTCTGTCTGGCCGTTGGATTGCGGGTGGAAGCTGGAGGTGAATCTGAACGAGGCCCCCAGGGCAGAGCAGAAAACCCTCCAGACTTCTGAGGTGAACTGGGGGCTACAGTCAGACGCTATGTCAGACAGAATCCTGTGTAATCTGAAAACTTGGGAGACAAGATGCTCAGCAGTCTCCTTTGCAGATGGCAGCTTGGGAACGCTATGGAGTGTGCAGCCTTAGAGAAGCAGTCAACAGTGAGAATGGTGGTGTTACCGTTTGAGGGAGGTAGTCCTGGGATGAAATCTACCACTATGTGAATCCAGGGGTGCTGTGGGACTGGCAGGGGATGCAGAAAGCTGGAGCTGGGTCGGTTGGCTGTCTTGTTGTCGGAACAGATGGAGCAGGCGGTCCCGTACTCCTTTGTATCCAGTTCCATGGAGGACCACCAGAATCTTCTCTTGAGCACCTCCAGGGTGTGAGAGGAGCCAGGGTGGCATGGGAAGCATGGGCCCATAGGGGCACCTGAGAACATACAGGGTTAGGTACAACAAGGGCGTGTGGAGGGCCGTTACCTGGGTCTGAGGTGCTCCAATGCACACCTCACCACCGCCTCCACTTCCCAGGTCAGAGATGTCACCAGACATGTTTTAGGAAGGATGGGCGTCGAGAAGAAAGCGCAGCGATGAAGCTTCTTGTCAGCAGGGGACCTTTGGGAGAGGAGAGCTCCTACCTCTGTATCGAAGGCGTCCACTTCCACAATGAACTGAAAGCTTATTTCAGGCTGGATCAGGACGGGAGCTGACGTGAATCGAGCCTTTAGTGAGTGTCAGGAGTCCATGAAACAGTCTGGGTGGTGGAGGTCATGGCAGTGAGTGGGGCTGCGACCTTATTGTAATCCCTGATGAAGCAACGCTAGAAGTTAGCGAGGAAGCGTTGCAACCGCTTCTGAGTCTCAGGCCGAAGTCATTCCTCGACTGTAGACAACTTTGCGGGTCAGTGTGGATTTCTTCCTGGGAAATGTGTCCGGTACCAAATGACCCACAGCCCAGAACCGGCCCGCGGTCCGGTGGTTGGGAACCGCTGAATTAGTGGGAGTCAAATCATTGACGAGGAGTTGGCAAACTCAACAGACGACTGGAGATTCAGCTACACTGAGGAAAGTTAAATCAGAGAACGTGTCTCATAAGTGGACCAGTTAATGGACTTCTCCATGAACGCTGTGTACACCGAGTACCGCTGCCGTTCTTTATTCACATGTACAGTAGTGGAGTATCTGCTAGTAGTAAAACTAAATATGCCAGTCTGACAATACCACAGCTTTCCTGAGACAGAGGAGATGGAGCCATGTGCTGGTTCTGACTGTCGGTGCTGACGGCTGATTCACAGCTGGTGCGTCACTCATGTTCCATCGTCCTGATGGAGTCACATCCAGCCTCAGTGGGATTTACTTTGACTGGTGTTATGTTGTTTCTGATGATTTAAGATCACAGAAATGGTCGGTGATACAATATAGGAAGACAAAGGACACGGGGAACGCACAAAACACAACATGCATATACAAGTATGTATATAATATCTATAGTCCTAGCTAATTAGCTAAAACAGACTGAACAGAGGAGGGGAAATATACTGTGAATATAGCTACCAGCTGCAAGTTATGGGTTCCTGTGAGGGTGCTTGGGTGAACGGTGGCTGGTTTTTGGACAGATCCATTTATAGTCAAACTGTGAGGCTCCAATTGGACGTCAATACGATTATTAGGTACAGCTCATGTTTGCATATCGTTTTGAACTATTAGATCAAGTTTCATGTTTCTAGCTCATTTTAGTTCACTGTGATTTAAACCCTGGCATAAGAAGGACAATAAGATTTTGAACAATAATAATAAAAGTTCTTTTCCCCTCTGATGGAACACGTTAGCTGCGTTCTTGTGAGTTTTAGGTTCAGTTAACCGGAAAACTGTAAATTGTATGAGCACTATTTCACTTCTTAATCTAATAACTGTAGAAGTGTGAGGATTCGTTTTACTGTTCTGCTTGTTTTACAGTATCGTCAGCATGCGGCGACGTGTTACCAGCGAAAGTAGAGATTCACTAAGAATCAGCGTGACACAAACATGCACGACTTGCTTTTAGAAAAGGGAAGTGGAATCTGGGGCATCGCACAGACTGTAACGTTCAACATGACATAGAATCAACTCTTTTCCCATTTGTGCTCCCTTCAAAAATAAATAAATCTGCTCTCGATCCAGCAGGACGTTGGTACGCTGACGTGGATGACGCTGTAGTTTCTCAGGCAGCCTTGGCTGAGAAAATCACTGACTAAGACGACGGGAGAACCACCTGCCTCGCCAAGTCAGCTCACAGCATCACTACGTCTCTTATTCACATGAGAAATGTGTTAAACCGACACAGGAAGCAAGGTTAAAATGAGATTTAAAGTAAGGGAAGGTGGGGAGTGTCACTCAGTGGGAAACACTCAGCAGGTTCCTCCACATGTACTTTGGTAAACATGAATTTAGTCTTTACGTAACAGTAACTACAGTACAATCCCCCCTGCAGGACAAACAGTATCACACCTTAATGACAGCATTGGTTTGGTCACCTGTATGGCTGTTCTGCCTCGAGGCTACGTTAGAATTAACCCACAGAGGAAGTTAAATTAACCAGAAACCAACTTTTCCTGCTGGTGGGCGAAGCTTGTTGTCAGTTAACAGCTGAAGCGTCTCAGTGAACAACCTGTTGGTCATTCGCCTCAACAGAACATCCTCTGCTTCAGAAAACATTCCCAGCTCTTCCCTCTTTGCCTCCTTCTCCTCATATGCTCCACAGCCAAATAAGTTCTCATTCTCTACAAGCAACCGTTCCCTTCTCCTCACTGGCATCGTTTTAAATGCCATCGAAGTCACTACAAGAGAACCGGGCTTTCTTTCTGTTTGAAGTTGTACAAAGAGTGCAGTGTTGCTGTGGTTTGGAGTGATGGAGGTCCTTCACTTTACTGGAAGCTTTGGTTTTTACCATAAATGTGGTCGAGCTGACTTTAAGCTCACCTCCGCTGCTCTACAGACCGACAGGGATTTGTTTTATCTGGCTTGCAGCTTTCCAAGTAACCAACGTTTCATACGTGAATCATTTCTGTGTGACCCAAAGTGAAAATACTAAAAATAGCACCTTTGAAATGTAGATCCATCTACATCCATCCTGACTCCCACAAGTCGTCTCCTTACGTTTCTACAGCTGAGTGCAGAGCTGGCGTCACCCAGAGAGACACAATTGGCAATTTTTGGGAAACATGCAAAGCTGAAAGATTTGTGAATGTCCTCCTCCATAAGCATTTGTTTTATTTGGAGTCTTCCCTCGTAGATCTATGGCTGAACTCAACGAGCCGTACGCTGACGGCAGCTTGAGATGATTTTTGAGGGATTTTTTCCATTTCAAAGTGTAAATAAAACTCATTCTCTGGATGGTTCTGATTGTGTTTCTGTGCTCTGTCTGCCCCCGTTACAGAATCACATCGCCTTCGCTGAGGTCACATGACGTGGAGTCGGCCGTGTGGCAGACCCACTGGACGTCCACGCTCTTCACTGTCCAATCCTATTAGCTGGAGCGCAGCGCTAAACCATCCTCTGTGTCTGTCTGGTCTGCGGTATGTTGTTCAGTGTCGTCTTTATCAGGCCCCCGTCGTCTTTTGCAGCTTCTCGTAGGAACAAAAAAATAAAAAAAGAGCGAGCAGTGGGTAACTCAGCGGGACAGATCGCTTCTGCTTTCTCCATCTATGCACTTATTCTGCATCCTCGTCGAGCTTTCCACATGAAGCTTTGTTTTGAGGCAAATCCTGCAGCGGACTCATCGGCAACGAGAAGAAGAGCAAAGAGAAGAAATGATCGATCTTAACTCTGCCTCGGTCAACTGTTACGTTATTTTATGTATGATGTCTGTAAGAAAATCTATCCAGTCAGTTAAATGTCCAAAGCCTCTCTTGTTTTATTCTTGTTTCCACCTTTCAGACTGTGTTGTTGCTGTTGTCTCATCACCTTTGTACCTGTTCAGAGCACTACTGTGAACATCAGGGTGTGACGCCGACTGCTTACCTCATATTGATCCACCTGATCAAGGTGAAACTCATAAAAGATCCCATTACATGTCCATTACTCACACAGAACGAAAGCCATTCAAGTGTTTTTCTTTAAGACCTTCGCGTGTCTCTTAACGCTCGGTTCAGACGACACGACATTTGTCCGATTCGGTGACTGTGGAGTCACAAATCCTCGAGACGTGACGGCTGTAGCTTCACCACCTGTGTGATGTCATCAGGTAGGAGGTGCCAGGGACCACCAATGGAAGTGCAGTGTTCAGTAAGGCCTGCTGTGGGTCGTACCAGAGGACAGCGTGTGGTTGGTCCCTTAGCCTATCTTTCGCTTCACCATGTTTAAACACTGTGATCTTATCGGTCAACATCACGGACGCGTTGTCGTTTTCATACGAGGCGAGAGGAGGTAAAAACATTCTGATGGGCTTTTGGTAACGTGAGGCGTTCATTATGCACTACACAGGATAGAACCACCACCACGCCCAACATCTACGTTTAAATCAGACTCTACCTCTTTTCGGTGCACAGTCCAGTTAGCATCTCCGACGGTGTCGTGCTGAATCTTAAAGGATAGAAACTAGTTAGAGCATGGCTTTCAAAACGTTAAAGACAATCTCCTGTGACTCCGTCGTTGTTCGTTTCGTTGGAGGAGGCTGTTTGTCCAGCATGTGAACAGGAAGCGTGCCTGTGATGTGCTGCTGGTTGACTCTGGGACAAACCCCGGCGCCATAATGACCCATAACGTCTCTACCGGCCATCTTTACTGTTCCTCTGCTCTTCTCTTGCAAAACTTTACTGTGTGTTGTTTTAAACAGTCTACTACCTGTTTGTGTAAAAGTCTTGGACGATGATGGGATGAGGTCGAGGTAGCAAAGAAGAAAAACTGCAATCATGGTAGTCCTTGTATTCGTGTGTCATTTCATGTAGTGAATGAAAACACTGTTCACTGACTGCACTGGACAATCACCATCATTCATCATCATGTTTCCTCTTTTTTCTCTTTTTCTTGTAGGCTAGTTCTAAAGTGTGTGGTAGCATGAGTAATACTAACACTGTACACGAGGAACGGACAGAACAAAAGGAGTCTCTGCAGCCAAACACAATGCAGTTTGCTTTCTTTATTTTTGTGAAAGTTGAGTCTTCTCATCTCACGTCTGATGCTTTCTGCTGCATCAAATCAGGATAAAGTGGATGTAGAACATCTACAAATGAGATTTTCCGTCTCTTTTCTGAGAGAAAGTATTTATTTAAGGCCTGTGTCCTCATATCAGAGACACATGGAGACATGCTGGGCTACCTTCACCCTGCCTCTGGAGTCCCGTCAGGACGTCTTTGATCATTGGCGAGGCTGCCACTAACATTTAACATGAAAACAAATCCTGTTACTGTGATCTGGTTGGTTATAAATCCAACTAATAAATCAGTTATTATAGCTCATAGTGGATATGTGTATGATTTAAAAGTTAATGATTTTCCTCTTTGGGTGTTAGAAGACCAGAACCGATGGCAAGTCGGAGAGATGTTTCAACTTCTGTCACATGTAACTGCTGTTTTTTTTTGGTCAGATGATGAGACATATCGATTCTCTCTCTGTGGATGCAGAGAAAAACGATGCAGGAGGAGTTTATAGTACAAAGACTGGATGCACAGGAATTATTTTGTCTTTTTTGTGTGTGTGTAATTGTTTATTTTTGTATGAAGATCGACCCTGATGTTGTACGGTGCACCCTGCTCTCTCTCTCTCAGTGTAGATAGACCAAACTAATATCTCCAAAGATGTACGCACACGTGAAAATAAAATGAAAGACAGAAAAGCAACAAACGATCAGAGTGGAGACGAGGAAACGGCAGATGACCCTGTATTAATCACTATTTTTGATATCAGTATTGAACAGAACCCGTGACGTAAAGAGAGCCGTCACGGTTCTACACGTCACTGAGAATAATCCTCCGGCTCTGCAGCGCTGCATGTTAGCCTCGTTTAGCTCGTTTGTTCGATTTTACTGCACAGCTTGAGGGTTAATCATCAGCCCGTAATGGCACAAAGCTTCAGAACGGTCCTGCCCCAGTGTGGGACTGTGGTTTGCATCCATTACATTTTAGTCACATCTTTAAAGAGCATTCTGATTTAATCATCGTTTCTAAACAAGTGTGGTGACTCAGAAATCCCATCCAGCAGCAGATACTGTATGTACACAGTGCATATAGATGAGCTGTTGCAGGACTTCTTATTCTTGTTGTGGCTCAGGATCGTTCTTTATGAATTCGTTTTCGCTGCATGCCTCGTGCTACAGAACCGTCGGACACCTGATCAGAGTCCAAACCGATAAAGTGACTGAACACGTTTGTGTATTTGTACGACTCTGGAAACACGGTGGATACAGAAAGCATTCACACTCCTTCGCTTTGTGTTGTAAATCATCGCTTTTCCCATCAGGCTGCACTCAGTAGGGACAGTTTTAAGATTCTTTAGAATTATTGTGTGTTCATTTAAAATGTGAAACCTTTCATTTAGACGTATTCAGACCCTATAATTCGGCACATTGCAGAAGCCTGCTTGGCACAAATTAAACGACAAACTCAGTTCACCCCATTCCTCCTGTGAAAGGCCATCCTGAGATCTCTACTGTGAGACTCTGGGCTTTCGCTGGAGACTTAAGGATAGATGCTACGATTTATCGACGCTCCAGAAACGCCTCACATGCATGCTACGATGGTGCAGCTAGACGGCTGTGCACAGAGAAGCCTCTGGTCTCCACTCAGGTGCTGCAGCAGCGACGCAGACGGGTGTCTGAATTCTCTAATGTTGGATTCACCAAAGTTGAATTCTCTAGATTCAGTTCTCCATGTATGGGCTTTTCTGTGGCGATGCACGCATGTGGGATATAAATCATAAATGTAATGATTATCTGCTTGCCCTCTTCCCTGACCAAGGCTTTTTGTTTTGCTTGTTTACTCAGTACTAAGAGTCCTGGCACTTATTGTCAGCGTGATTGTTAGTCATGTGACAGAAGCCTATAGATGTCCGGTTAATTAAGGACTCCAATTAGACACAATGAAAAGGATTCTTAGAGCAAACAGGATGAGTGAGTGGAGATGGATGTCTTCAGTTTTTAATTTTTTAATTTTAGTACACTTGACAGAAAGGATGTTTTGTCGTTATGGTTTCTGAGCAGCGTTATCCATCCAACAACACATGAACGTGTGAGAAAAGCGAAGGAGTCTGTCGACGTTCTGGATCCGTCGTGCCTTCATGTTAGCGTCGAGGCAACAACGAGCCGTAACATCTCCAGTGTGTGCGTCATTCCTCATGTTTCCTGGGTTTCCATGTATTTATGTCTTTGTAATAAAGAAATAACGCTAAAAATGTAAACACGAAACATCCAAACACGTTTGTAAATTATGAATTTATTCCTCTCTTCTGTTTTAAACATTCTGTGGTGCTTATTGTTGAGATAACGGATGAATTTCAGCGTAGTGGTGCATTTAGAAGCGAAAGAATCATTTTTTCTCAGGAGGAGGCGACTTAACCAGAGTTCAAAGGAGATGAAATCAGAAATCAGATCTAACGTCGCCCTGTGTGTGCAGTATAGTAGATTATTATCGAACCATCCATCCCCCGTTTGTATTGTAGCAATAACATGTTGAGCTTTCTTTGACATCAGGAGAGAGAACGAGAACACAGTGAAGGTCCAATTCTTTTGCCCCTTCAAATCTCTATTTTTGTAATAACGACTGAAGCACTTATCGATTAAAAACTCCAGACGGGAACATGCAAAGAGCAGCACTTTAAACCGAGCTGTCGTTAATCACCGCTTACGAACCCGCCGCCCGTGTCATGGCCGCTTGAGCATCACACACAGAATATTCAGGACTCTAAAGAATACAACCTGCTCAGACGTGTATCCTTAGAGCTGCCACACTACCCCGGTATCCTAGTAGAGAAGAACTGTAAAAATGTACATGTTAAAAGGATATACTGAGTTATGTTGGTGTTTTTATACTCTGTTCTGTGACTAGTGACATCCATGTTATGTTTGTGTATATTTCAGTTCTGTATCTTTCCTCGATCGTGCTTGTTCTGGAGTATCGGTTACAGACTTTTCTAAACTTGTGGTTTTATACCTTTTAACCCACGCTGTCATGATTCGTTTCTCGGTTCTCGGTGGACCGTTTTGTATGGATGTTGTTGCTCTTCTTCTAACCTGGTTCTTTTTTTTTTTCTTTTTAACATCATTCAATTTTCTTTTTGTTTTTTAAATTTCCCTTGTTTTCAACTTGAGTTCAAATGGTGACCTTTTACACTGTAGGAAAATAAAAATAAAAAATACAGCCTTTGAATAAAACCTTTTAAAAAACATTGAAGCAACTCAAACACGTGTCTCATTGTTCTGTTCTGACAGCAAAGTGAAATGTAGGATCTGGACTTTTAGACGGAACTGAATGAAAACAGGGCTGCAGGTGTCTCGGTGGTCAGCACCGTGGCCTCACAGCTAGAAGGTCGCCGGTTCATGTCCCGGTGA